TCCTTAGTGACCATCACACACAGCCCACAACTCAACCCAGAGACACCACACTGCTGAGTGACCGTCACACACAGCCCACGACTCAACCCAGATACACCACACTGCTCCTGAGTGCCCGAGCGACCCAACAACTACATCCAAGGTCAACAGTGAACTAACCACAAAGTGTAACCACGGGTCACTGAGATCCACAACCAAACGCAACACACACACACACACACACACACACACACACACGCACGCTCCTGAAAGTGACCATCAGGTGCTGGAATCCCTAACTGAACCGACGCTGACTGAAACGTTGCCCTGCTCCTGAGACAGCCATTCTCTGAGGCTGCGGTCCCTCACAGAGACCCGGCAGGCTCATGACAGAATGACCACCATATACTGAGACCACAACTGCAACAAAGCCCGTCCACACTGTTCATGAGAAAGCTTAGAAGCAGTGTGGGGAATACTTTGGAATGAGGGCTCAGAGAAAATGGAAAATGGGTCTTTTGAGGATTAGTTCTTTAAAGTGCTCCCCCCACCTCCTTTCATTTGGGGGCCGACATCACATTCAGATCTGCCGTTTATATGGTAGCTATGAGTCACGATTGACTTGCTGGCACATAACAACTGTATGTGAACACCAACACAGTAACTTATTGCTGCCTATCACCACACAAGTACCATTTGCTCGCTGAGAGAATAAAACAAAAGACCAACCCACCCACAGCGTGTTACACATACAAACACATGCACTACCTGTCACTGAGTCTGAAGTGACTCACATCTGACTATTCGGCAGATTTCTGACTATAAACAGCACAGGAAACTGATCCTCACGGTACAGGATCAAAGAGCCAGTGTTCATCGGGACCCGCTTTGTGAGCACCCGCAGGCTGTGAGCACCCGCAGGCTGTGAGCACCCCCAGGCTGTGAGCACCCCCAGGCCGGCCACTGTGAGTAGGGTGAGTTACCTGTGGGCCTTTAGCTTTCAGCTCTGTGTCCACAATGGACACAGACTGCACGTTTCTGGCCAGAAACGGCTCATCAAATTCGGTCCACGTGTAATCACCAAACACGATGTTGTGTCTGTTCAGCAACTTTCTAACACTCAGCTTTATATCTTCTTTTTTTGCAGCGCTAGGAAAGCAAAGCACACATCTATGACACAGATGAAAGGCCGTAGACTAAGATTACAGAGTCGGGCTTTGTCAGACAGGATTCAGGAGAGCCGGGGTGGTGGGCCAGCCTGCCCGATCTGACCCCTGGTCACATCTAGAGGTTGGAGCTGGGGCTCAGGCAGCTCTGCTCTGTGCATGGGCTGCCCTCAGCCATGGACAGCTCTGTGCTGTCCTGGACTCCTCCAGTGGGCTACATTTAGAAAGCCGTCTTCAACACAGCCTGGCAGATGCTGGCTATTGTTAACTGGACAGTCCACGCCTGCGGAACCTTCAACTCCCAAGCCAACACCAGGCCTCACGGCTGTCCTCCTGATGAAGCTCTCCATCTCCACCTGGCCATCTCAGCTCCCAAGCAGGCTGATCAGGTCATCAAGACCACACCTAGCCTGCCTCCTCCAGCCTGGCCTTGGACACACTCATAATTGGACTGTTCCCACTGACGGTGGCCTGGGGAGTGA